TCCAGAAACCCTACTTTCCTGAAACAAACGTTTTAATTCGAATCCCGAGACATACAAACTCACAACCAACTGCCAACTGACTAGAATTAGACAGTTGAGTGGCTGGACCCTCATTCATTAGACACTACAAAACACCTGCAACCGTACCGAAAGAACAAGAATTGAGTGCAAAGAAATCATTTCGTTTATACTAACTCGTGAAAAAGATATCGGATATCGGATCTGTGTTCACTTTCGTCCTGGGCTTCGAATACTCAAGGCTTCGGACAAACTAACGTGGGAAATTCATCCTTAAGGTCAGTCGTATAGGTAACGCGTTGAATCAGGCATTTCCATATCTCATCGTCAGTTCATTTTTGCTGCATTTATTTCGTACTTTTTAAACGATATCAATGACATAAACACCAGTGTTAATTTACTTACAAATTATTTCAAAGGGACATGTATCCCCTTAGATTATTTTGAAAATACTAAACTAGGTTCTATGATAAAGACTCAGTTTATCAATCGCCTGTGCGATTCTGAATGTCGGGACAAAATGTTAGACTAAGCAATCAGAAGAACTTCTGTTGTGATATTATTAATTCGTCTGCTTGATTTCCTGCTCAAAACTCGTACGGTATTGATACCATTTTCGGGAACAGTCGTGTGTGAAAACCAATGTAATTAACAGAATAGTGATTACACTTATATTTACTTAACTATGATACATAAGTCACACACATGCTCCTCACTTATAGAAAGATCAAGGTGTCACAATAATTATAATGGAGGCCTATGAAACAAATACTAGACAACTGACTGGTCTGAATTTTATGTTTAGAATAGAGAATGATCCCACTGTCGCCATTCATGTTTCTGCAAGGCTGTTCTATGTAAACCTATATTCAAAGTACAAAATAGAGTTCAAATCAACGAGTTTAACATCTTCAGCTCAGTTCTATCTCATTTTCCCTGAAAATTACGAGGTAAATCGGTGGTTCATGCATTCTGCTACCAAGCATTATGTCACGAGTTAAAACTGTTCCGTCCAAGGGAACCTAGACAGCAAACTGATGTTGTTGTAGTAATTCCAGACCACATCGTGGATTCGACAGTTAAACCCATCGTCGGCCATAAACTAAGAATCTCTTAAATGTAAATGTTAAGTATGACACAAGTTGAAAATACAGCATTTCCATCTACAGACCATGTCTGCAAAATCTGAAAGTTCAATATAACTCCCCAAAATAAGAACACCTAGCAAGATTATAATGGTCAGACATAAAATTACTGTTCTGCTACTTGGAACTCTCATGTAGACAGTTATATCTCAGCAATCTTTTGGGGCCGACAGGCATCTAACCAAATTTGATTAGGCCTACGCAGGAGTCAAAGGCGTAATACCACTCATTAACAAAGTTTAGCTGTTCAAGAGGTATCCCTATTCACTGCACACAATTGTAGCTCAGTCTAGTATTTGGACTGCCCTTGAATGCCATCGTATGGTGGAGAGTATTTATTCCCTCTCCCTTGCGAACTTCTCTTTTATGGTCACGAGTATATAGCCACTGATAGGGAAGTTCTGCTCACTGCTTTCTTGTGGCGGGGGTGTTCCACGAGATTGAGAGGACGAAAGGCGACAGTTTGGCGCCCAAGTCGAGTTGACGGGAAAGGTGGATCTACCTAGGGGATCGGGAAGACTGACTTTATACCAATGATGCACACGAGATCCGGGAGACTAAAGGAACAAATGGTGTCTGAACCTATTTTCGGTCACCGGCTACCATGGGGCTGCATCTCCTCTGTCCCACTGTCTTGTGAACATATACGCGTGGCTATGTGACTATTTTTTGAGGGAGCGGACTGCTATCTCATACATACCAGGGTATTTGGGAACCCTTTGTTTCAATCCAGATAAATAAATTTGTTACCTATTGCCAACCCAATGAGAAATGTGTTTGTTGTTTCCTCATTTTCGGTCTTTGATACTATGCTTACTATTTCATGACTTGATCACAAATCGTTGGTAGTAATATTCTATTGATAACCAAGTTCTAAATTTCACGATAAGATTGTGAAAGAAATCAACAAACCTAGCTGCCTATGTATGTCAGTCAGTCAGTTACAACGTAGAACTTCGTGCGTACCTACATCAGTTCGGGTTGCCACACCTCATCAGCACAGAGACGCAACTGTCAGTTCAATTCCAATAGTGGTAGAGATAGTAGAAGTATTAGCAGTAATCGAGAAGATTACGGTTCGAAGATATGATTCGAGAAGTATAATTCAGTGAGATAAATTTAGAAAGTGAAAGATAGAGATGACCAGGAATTCAGGTTAGAATTAGAGATAATACAAAGAGTGGGTGCACCTGCGCTATTGCAAACGATTTTGAGCAATGTCGTTCAAGGACTCTAACCATTAGTGACTTTCGTCTCGTGGACCCCAACCAGGCAGCCTACATCTACCAACATGACCACTTGTTAGTGATTTCATGGATTTGCAGTATGTTTTGGTCTAACCGCTCCCAGCATTCTTCCAACCTACTCCTACACCACTGATGGAGTCCCACTACTCCACCAATTGATCTGCTAGTACTCGTTTCCTAACGACATCATTGCTTACTCGGTTGTCCCAGGATATACGAGCAATGCTTCGGAGACACCTATGATCGAAGACTAGTAACCTACAAAAGTCCTCTACTCTTAACGGCCATGTTTCTCATCCGTATAGTAGGACGGAGCGAACTGCTGCACAGTACACTCATCCTTTGGTTAGCGGACCGATATCTCGCTTGCGCCATAGGTGACGCAACTTGGCAAAAGCCAATCGAGCTTTCTGTATCCGTGCTGAGATTTCGTCAGTCACCAAGCCATCAGCACTGATAATACTCCCGAGATAAGTGAAACGGTCTACACATTCAACTACTTCACTCCCTACCACTAGTTCAGGTCCCGACCGTAGCTGCTACCTTGACGTAGTTGTCAGGCTTGCCTATCGTGATGACCCAACCGAGCTATACTGGCTGGAACATATGTTCCTGCAGGTCCTACCATGCCAGGCAGGTCGATTGGAGAACGATGAGACTAAAAGCAGCTACCCAAGGTCTGAGGGCGAAGTCGTACTGCTGACTCACTGTAGAGGGGTGTGACAGCAGTAAGGTGTTTCCCTCGGACAACCAGCATTTGTAGCGATGCTGCCTTCTCACAAGAAAGGAAGGGTTAGAAGAGGTCGACTCTAAAAATGTCACACCTTACCTCACGGATTTCCGTCTCCGGCAGTAAGGGTGCCCACTAAGGGCTTTTAAGAGCGGAGCTAATATTCAAAAACCCTTTCATAAAAAGGCCGTGCGTGACCGGCCCCAAGCAGTTATCCCTTGGGCTGTGCGGTCACGCTCCCAGGTCGTTAAGGTCAACGCTAATCTACCTTCATTTCCGTGTTCCTCAAGAAACACCCACGGTGTGGGCAGCCGGGAAGTGACAACCGCCCTCACACCCGTAACGGCACACAAGACCAAATTGTTCAAAACCAAACCCTTCCTACACCCCTAATATCTCTCTTATCTTCGACTAACTCTACTCGCATTCCTTTATCTCACTGCACCGCTAATGCAAACGATTCGGGTTCACGAAACGTTATTCCTGGTCTCCTGAAACCTTGTTGGAGCTTTTCTCCCTCACCAGTAGTACCACTAGGATTTGAATTGACAATTGCGTCACTGTGCTAATGTGGTATGGCAACATGAACTGATGTACTTACGTACGAAGTTCTACGCTGCAGCTGACTGACTAGTTCAGGTACCAATCTTAAAGCAACGTTTTGCATTTCGAGCGGGAAAACCGCACCCCAAACAAGCCTGCATTGTTGCTTAGGGTAGTCAGAAGACTGCATTTTGTCAGTCTTCACAGAATAGGACTATGTGATTAGCATATTCGAAGTCAGCAAGCATGTCTCATGGCGAAATGTATGTAAACAATAGTATGGAAATATTTGTCATTAAATTGATTTTATCTGATTTGATAACTAGCGTAATAATTCACTACATGTGATAATAATTTTAATTAGATCAGTACCTAACTAATGAGACTAATTGACCCGCATTGAGAAGACAACCAAAAGTTCTCAAGTTAAGCTGGGTAGTATCTCTTCAGCGGTCTAAATACTGACTCTGTGTATTTATCTGAGATATGTCTATAGACTTATTTATGAGTTATTATAATCTCATTTTATGTAGTGAGATTCTTCTGACATTCATTTTTTGTTACTACCTGTATATAGATGTTCTCAAATCCTTTGTGATTCATGTACTACCGATGTAATTTGCGTTCATCTAACATAAGGAGTTGGAGTTTCTGGTTATCATGAGTAATAAGATTTAGATAAGTAGCGCATCAGCCAACTGGCTTTTTATATGCTAGATTTTATACCTCATGTAATCTTCACTGCAAAAACTATGATGCTTCCGTAGTTTCATTACTCTCTAAGCACCGATTTCCTCGTCGAGCTATGTTTTGCGATATAGGAATAGGTTGGAAGAAAGCTAGGGGCGGCCAGACCAAAACATGGAACAAATCCATGAAGTCACTGACAAGTGGACTGAGTCATGTCGGTAGATATAGGCTACCTGGTTGGGGTTCGCTGGATGATAATAATTGATGGTTAGAGACCGTAAGTGACGGCTCAAAACCGTTTGCGATGGCGCAGATGCATTTACTCTTTGTGCTCTATAAAATTCTAACTTGAATTCCTCATCACATCTAACTTTCTAAATTTACCTCACTGAATTATATTTCTTTAATAACATCTTCGAACCCTAATCTCTCCGATTACTTCCAATACTTTTACTACCTCTACTACAATGGGATTTAAATTGACAATTACATCTCTGTGCTAATGTGGTATGGCAACTTGAACTGCCGTACTTACGTGCAAAGTTCTACGTTGTAACTGACTCACTGATCTGAGATATTTACATTCACTAATGATGGGTTCTTTTCTTTTCCTAGACAAACAAAACGATGGCACATAAGCAGACACCAAGAGACTTCCTAAAACTTATAATCGGAAGACCAGTGGTAGTTAAGCTTAACTCAGGTGCTGATTATAGAGGTATTTTTACGTTAATTCAATTTGAGTAATGTACAGGTGTCCTAATTTCCTTAGACGGTTATATGAATGTGGTATTGGAACAAACTGAAGAGTACGTTGACGGTCAGCTAAAAAATAAGTATGGTGATACGTTCATTCGAGGAAACAATGGTAAGTCACATTAGCCTTGCTAAACTGTCGCAGTTTTTTACATTAGCACACAAAAGCGTTGGTAATGGATACAACCTGTGCAGCTTTCCATATATGAACAAAGCACTTGCGCAATTCGCGAGTCAAACATCTGTACAATTATGTTGCCCGAAACCAGATTACGACTAACAAAACATAAACAATGGAAAGATAACTTATTTTTTAATCAATAAAAATCTCACTACATATAAAGCGTATCTTGAATATAAAAACATATTTTTGGGAAACACTTCCAATTACTCTACATAGTTGGGATGTACGACAATGTAAGGATCAGCGGTATCAGCAGATGCGTCCAATCCCGTACCACCAATAGTTATAAGAATATTATCCTGGAATAAATAGGAAAGTTTCCATTGTTTTATGAACATTAAATGTATGCATAAAACAAGTTGACTCATAATTTTTTATTCAATGAAAGTGATTTTCAATACTGTCAGGGGTGTTCAGTTATGCAGCTAATCCCTCATAACTCACTAAAAGTGTTGGATTAGTCATTAGTACATAACTTCACACCGGGTTGCTTTAAGCCACCCCCATAACTCTATAAACGAATGAAACAGACTACTGAGGATTGAACTATTGACGTGATACGTTAGTTAAATTAAAAACGAACTTACGGAATAAAAACGGCTGCGCGCCTGTAGTTTTCCAATTCTCATACTCCTGTTATGCGTTGTAAGATTTATCATACAATTAATAACATATCGTAGTCCCATTGACTATTTACTTGATTGCTGTTACGCATTACTATTGTTAGAACTCACCAACCCTATTCAAAGTTATATGTACTACGAAAACACCGTAGCTTCTACCTTGACGTGGTGGTCGGGTTAGGCCTTCGTGATGACCTAACCGATCCATATTGGCTGGAATATATGTTCCTTAAATTCCTACCATGCAATGCAGAACAGTTGGGGAACGGTATGACTAGACGGAGCAAATTAAGGTCTGAAGATGAAGTCGTACTGTTGACCGTAAAGGGATATGACAGCAGTAAGGTGTCTCCCTCGAACAACCAGCATCTGCAGCGATGTTGCCTCCTTACAACAGGAAGAGGTTAGAAAAGGCTGACTCTAAAAAGTGTTACGCCTTATCTGACCCCACGCATCCAGGTATCTGACGGTAAGGACTTCCGGAGAGCGCAGCTGCGTCTCCGAAACGCATACGCTCCCACTGACTGCAGCTCGCACAAGGTAAAATATAAGTTTTACAAAAACCTCTCTGATATAGTAATAATGGTTGGTGACTTCAATGCTCAAGTAGGTAAACTAAGCCAAACTGAAAGACATTCGAGTGAATCTTATGGTGCCGCGGCTCACCGAACAGATAATGGCGGCCGTCTGCTGCAGTTATGCTCAGATAATCGCCTACTTCTAGTAAATACTAGCTTTAAGCACAAGGAAGAACATCTTTTGACATAGCGACCCCTAAAATCGACTCAATTTGATCGATTGGCAGAGCACTTTAGGGACCAGCCCAACTGGCCTTCAGCCATACTTCGATTACCCATGATCTCCAGTCAACCAAAATGGCATGTTGATATAAGTCCTCCAACCCTTAATAGTAGAAAAAGCTATATGAAATTTACGGTAAAGGAGAGCAGCGAGCCCTGATAGATTAAACCCTGAAATTTTTAAGGATGGCGGTCCAGTTTTAGCAGTTAGATTGACTGAGATCTTAGGTAGAATCTGGCAACTGGACGTAATTCCATCCGACTGGCCTCAATCTACAAGAAATGACAAAAGTACTCTTGTGACAATCACAGAGGAATCAGTTTACCTGATATAGTGTCTAAAGTATTAGCTTTGATAATACTTCGAAACTAAACTAGAGCTCGAGAAAACAGGACGTGGCTGTATAGACCAGATATCCACTCTTCAGTAGGTCCTAGTACATAAACTCACGATAGTTATATTAATTGACCTTAGGGCTATGTTTGGACTCTAATTATCATAAGGTTCTGCAGCATTGTCTGCCGTTGAGAGGCTTGCCAAAGCACTACAGCCTCTCTACTCGAATATTACTAATAGAGCCATAGCTTATAGCTAATTGTCATCGGAATTGATTACTTCAAGGTGTTTGTCTCGATTGCTTGTTTCCTCCATTCTTATCTAATTTTGTCATCAACATGCTCCTAGAGACGATACTTTCAGCGTCTGACTTCCCAGGAGTTGACCTTCTACCAGGACATTTACTAGTTGACTTAGAATATGCGAATGACAATTTGGTTCGGTGAAGACACTGATAAAATGTAGTCTTCTGAACACCTTGATCAACGATGCAAGCATGTTCGAGATACGATTCTCCCTATCGAAATACAGAATGCTGCTTCAAGATCGGTTTGCATCGGCACCTGAACTACTGAGAGTAAAGTAGTTGAGCGTGTTGACAGCCTCAATCATGTCTCATTAGTCCTGATGTTCTGGTGTCTGACGAAATCTCGGTACTTGCGTTACTTATGGTGTAGGCGAGATATCCATCTACCGACACCAAAGGACGAGTTTCCTGAGCAGCAGTTCGCTTCGTTCTGCTACTTGGGTGTTAAACACGGCTAGTAAGAAAAGAGGATATTCGTAGGTTACTGGTACTCAGTCATAGGTATCTTCGGAGCATTTCCCTTGTACTTTTGGGACTACCGACTAAGCAATACATGGGTTGTAAATAGGGTACTAAATAAAGATGGTAAGACGATTGGTGTTGGATCATCATCATTAGCTGAGGTGGTCAAGGTATGTGCTACGAATTGTCAACCACCGGCTGCCTCAATGTTGTCTGATGTAGAAGTAGGTTGGAAGAAAGCTAGGGGCGACCAAAACGTGACATAGATCTATGAAATCACTGACAACTCGACTGAGCCAAGTTAGTAGTTATAGACTACCTGGTTCGGGTCCGCGAAACAATCGTGACCAGTGGTTAGAGACCTTGAACTACATGGCTCAAAATCGTTTGTCAGTCAGTCAGTCAGATGCAACGTAGAACTTCGTACGTAAGTACATCAGTTTATGTTGCTATACCAAATCAGCACAGAGATGTAATTGTCAATTCAAACCCAATAGTAGAAGAGGTAGTACGGGTATTAGAAGTTATCGGAGAGGTTAGGATGAGAAGATATAATTCAAGAAGTATGATTAAATGAGAAAAGTTTAGAAAGTCAAAACTAGAGGGGTTGAAGAATCCAGAAGATTAGGATTTGAGAGAACACAAAGAATAAATGCACCGGCGCCATTGCAAACGGTTTTGAGCCATGCCATTCAAGGTCTCTAACCATCGATTATTATCATCTCGCGGACCCCAACCAGGTAGTCGACAATTACCGACATGGCTAAGTCCACTCGTCAATGACTTCATGGATTTCTGCCATGTTTTGGTTTGGGCGCCCCTAACTTTCTTCCAACCTACTCCTACACTACAAAACAAAGCTCGACGAGGCAGTCGGTGGTTAGGCATACGCAACACGTCCCAACCACCTCAACTGATGAAGTTTCACCACTTCATCGATTGATCTGCCATTCTTGCCTAGTACCCGTTTCCTAATAACAGCGTTGCTCACTCCGGTGTCCCACGATATACGAGCAATGCTTCGAAGACACCTATGATCGAAAACCAGTAATCTACGAATATCTTCTACTCTCACTGGCCATGTTTCACAGCCATAAAGTAAGACGGAGCGAACTACTGCGCAGTACACTCGTCCTTTAGTCAGCAAACGGATATTTCGCCTACGCCATAAGTGACGCAGGTTGGCAAAAGCTAATCACGCTTTCTGTATCCGTGCTGAGATTTCGTCAGTCACCAGGCCATCAGCACTGATGAGACTCCCCAGATAAGTGAAGCGGTCTACACGTTCGACTACTTCACTCCCTATCACTATTTCAGGTGCCGATGCAACCCAATCTTGAAGCAAAATCGTTTGTAACGGCACAGATGCATCCATTCCTTGTTTTACCTGAAATACTAAAATTCGAAATTATTCAAGACTTTTTTTTATTTAACTTATTTTACTGGTTTATAATTTATCGATTCAGACCTTTCCCATAACTAATAATACTGCTACTACCATGGGGTTTGAACTCACGATTTCAGCTCTTTGTGTACTAATGTTGTATGACAACTTGAACTGATGTGCGTAAGTACCAAGTTCTACGTTGTAACTGACTGACTAAGGTGAAATAAAAACCACTACCTAAATAAATTCATTTATATCCTATGTTTCGTATATGCATTGATATCATGGGAATGAGATGATGGATTCCGAACTCATCAAATAGTGAACTTACCACTTAAGTTCAAAAGGTTTTGAAAATCTTAATCTCCTTAGTTTTTAATAATTAGTATAGTTAGTAGCAAAAGAACCATTTGAAATACTTGCCATCTAGGATTCAAAAAGTAAACAAATGCCAAATATAGCAAAAAGTGAAATGGTGGTAAACTCACTTTTTTTATTAGGCGATCGATAATGCGTTCGACAAGAAGCTTAACTTCTGCTAACTGGGCTTCGGTTTCGACTTCATCAACAACTTCTTCTAAATACCAGTTGACTAACTCACTCCTTTTCGGCGCACCAGGAGTTTGATCAGACTCAACATCTGTTGCTGAAGTCTCGCTCCAGTTCCGTGCCCTCAAAATTAAAAGACTAGCGATCCGTCTATACTCATCATATGTTACTCGTAAATGCCCTGCAGTTGTATTTGTTTCTGTAGTTGGCTGGTTTAAATTAAAAATTTGAAAAAATAATTAGGGAATTCGATGAGATTTAAACGAAGCATATTTTTGAAAACGCATACCTACCTGTTCAGTAATTGGTGTTTGTGAAGCATCTATAAGTTGATGTTGGTCTTCTTCTTCTAGATTTATATCAGGCTGTTCAACTCTTATTATGGATTTGTTTAGGAGAGCGAACGCTTCTCGTACATGAGCTGGAGTTACCTACAATTAAAACCAAAAGTCTTGATAAAGTACACAAATAACGGTG